AGATAGTCTATCGGAAGTTGCATTAGTTCGGCCTTGATGAACTTGTGGCCATTCTCAACCCTATGCACATGAAGAATTTGGATTTTCACCTCACACCTCACAGCATATTGTATTCGTGCACTGAGGACATTTCCCCATGAATTATAACTTACAAATACGGAGATACCAGATGTGTGGCTCCATGTGCTTGTGAGATTGGTGTGAGGAGCACTCTATGAGGAATAAATCTAAACTGGCATATGGGAACAGGGGTGGAGTCAGGGGACCCCTATGGCTCAAAGTTTCCTATAATCTCCACTTATATCATGGTTTTGAAAATTGGAATGAAAATGGAACCATTTAGACCACCAATTTTTAGGTAAAACGGTTTAACCATCTGGTCCAAACCCTGGTCAAACAATTTTTGGGGTCCAAACCTAAAGCCATGATTGGGTCTCAGGTCAGCCAGTCTGACGATTCAGTCCATCTGATCATGTTATCAAAACCATGACTTATACTAGGGAGAATGACTGATTAGTTCGGGTCAGAATTTTATAGCCCTACCGTATAAGGAGGGTGAATCCTAACCGTGAATTGATGTCAAATTCACGAGCAGGATGTGGTTTATAGGGCAGGGGGGCTACTAATAGAGTATGGGGGTTGTCATTCAGAACTCTGCATTGGGCTGCAGAGTACTTAGCCCCTTATATTATTAACTATGGTTGGGCCCCGCACCTAGCAAGAAACCAGTGGGTAAAGTCAAAAAAGCCAAAATGATGTTTAAGTTGTCGAAGTACTACTACTTCCACTGGTCCTTGGTATGGGCCACGGTGGCCACGAGGAGATAAGTCTATGGGCCTTTTGAATAGCGATAGACAACAGAAGTCTCAATGCTAATGGGGAGGCTATGTATATGAGATGAGGTTGGACCGAACCCAACTTAGAGAAGTGTTGTGGAGAACAATAAGGGTGCAAGTTAGGTGGATTGGGTCGGGTTTATGGTTAATCCAGGCCCGATCTTAAAATTTGGGCATAAGGCCTGAGCTTGGACTAAACCTAAGGTCAAGCCTGATCTTCTCAACCTGCACCCAACTCGCACTATAATTTGATGCATTCGGGTTGGGCTTGGGCCCAGGTCAACAAGTTCGAGCTGGTTAATGAATCCGTTCTAAAATTATACGTATATATGCATTTATGTAAATATGTGCACACACACACACACACACACACACACATATATATATATATATAAAAGACACACACACTACCTATAAAAGAGTGAATGCCCCTTCTTTCTATAATTTTCATTGGATGTTTTCTACCTCTCTTGTTTAAGCATACAGTGGGCCTAAAGAGGGCATATATGTCCTTTACTCTCACATTAGAAACTGCCCACTTATAACCGTTCAGAAACTGCCCATGAATTATAAATAGTTTTGTCTTAGAGATACTGCCACATGCAAATGCACATACACGTTTACTAGTACATACACACACACACACACATATGTATGAATGTGTATAGTTGGGCTAGGTTCAAACTATCTAAGGGCTAGGCCCAGGGCCAGCCTGAAAAATACAAAAGCCCAACTTCTTGGGCCTGATCCCAACCCAAAGACCGAAAATCCAAGCCCAATTTGTGTAAACTTTCTACGTGGGTCGGTTTGGGCTCGGGCTAGGCCACCCAAGTTGCACCCCTAGTGAACAACAAGGAGACCACCCTATGGCCTCTCTCCCCAATCTATATCCACTCTCTCTCATTTAAAATATTTATATTAATTAATAAATAGTTAAATACGATAAATATTTAATCCAACCCATATTCAATGAGTATTAAATAGTGTTATTACCAAAAGTTAATAAATATAGTTAGTAAATTACCAAAATTAAATATTCTTGTCAGTACGTTTAGTAAATTAGCAAAAATTAATAAATACTATTATTAATTGGATCATCATGACTTTTTAAAGTATTTTGGGTAAATATTGTTATATTCATGTTCATTAACAACATTTTATAGAAATTGAAAACTCTTTAACTAATTTGTATAAAATTGAGAATTATATTTAACAATTATCAAAAAGTATAAAAATTTAGTTATTGCTATTATTATAGTTAATAACCAAATGTAGATGGGGAATAAAATATTATAATGTTGGAAAATGAAATTATTAATTAATTTATATTGGAAAATAAAAGATAAATTAGTGTAATTTTATTAGTAAACTACTTGACAAAAATAAATATTTAATAACAATTTAAAATAATTTTCAATAAATCTCCATAATTACACAAGTGTAATAAATTTTTCAAAAATTTTCATAAAACTACATTTTTGTAAAATGACATTTTGGAAATTAAAAGATATAATATTGTAATTTTGGAAAATTTTTGAAAGTTTATTTAAAATGTATTAAATAATTACTGAAAATTATTGGAATATTTTGGAAATTTTAGGAAAATTTATTACACTTGATAGATTTTGGAAAAATATTGCAAAATTATGTAATTTTCATTGTAAATTATTAAAAATTATTAAAGATAAATGAGTATGGGAAAGGGAATGTTGTAATTTGAACCAATAATTACACAAATTATTAAGATAAATTATAATAATATTGGAAAAAAGAAATTATTGATTATTTTATAATAGAAAATATAAGATAAATTAGTGCAATTCTATAAGTAAACATTAAAAATAAAATAAATTATTTAATAACAACTAAAAAATAAATTTTAATAAACTTTCAAAATTACACAAATGTAATAAACTTTTCATATAAAATTACATTTTTGAAAATTAAAGGCAATTTAGTATACTTTTAGAAATTTACCATGTGGCTAATACTCAATATATGATTTTGATCATTTTTATCATCAAATTGAATATTGGGTTGACGGAGAGTGGGTACCTTGCCTTGAATCCACCCAACACTAGGGATGGTGCTGGGAAAATTTGATGATTCCCTATCATTGATGAGGAGTGGGTGTCTTGCCCTAAACTCGCCAAACAATAAGAACGATGCGAGGAAATTTGAGGGTTCCCCCATCCCAAACGGGGAGTGGGTGCCTTGGCCTAAACCCGCCTGACACTGGGGATGGGGTAGAGACTCTTGACTATGGAGCAGGGACAGGGATGGGGTACCCTGCCTCCAAACCCGCCCCATTGTCATTCCTATATAATTGTTAATTATTAGTGAAATTAATAAAAATGTTAGCTTTTGTAATTATTTTATTTATTTAAAGTCAATCAAAATTTCATTTAAAAATGAAAATAATAACAGTGAATAAAATTACTACAAATGATTAATAAAATTAATTTATTAAAAAATATGTATCCATATTAAATTAACAATAATTATTTTCTACAAGTCAACATGAAATGAAAAATATAATTATTAAAATTTTAAATATTAACAATAACTTTGAATATTTTTAATTAATTAACAACAAATATTGTATTAATTTCTCAATTAATTAATAGTAAATAAAATTATTCAATCTTTCAGATTTGCCAATACGAGTATATAAAAGAATGCAAACCAGGATACATGGCTACATGAAACATATCTATCCCAGTCGCAATGCCAGACATCCTTACAAGGAGAACGGTTGGATTGGGTTGAAGGTGTGTGTTCATTCTTATAACAAACAGGAGTTGGACTGGTTTACTTGTGAGCTGCTTGATTATTCGAAGAATGCAAACCTCTCAAATCTCGATCGAGTGTCAGTGTGTGCCCTGCAGAGGCTCTCTCCATCGACATGTTAGTTCCTTTTATGATGGATATGTGACTTTTGTTTGTTGGCCTTGCCAAGTCCCATTGGCGTTTATGAAGGTATGAACAATGGACCATTGACTATTCCTCAGTCCACAGTGGACCATTCGATTTTAAGATTTTTAAATACATTTTTTCCACCGTCCAAATGTTGAAGTTAAGGCTGTATTTAGTTGCAGTGTAATTTTATTTGTTCCGGTACAAATGTATGGGAATGGAAATTAAAAAAATGCAAATTCTCATTTAATTTTGTTTTATTCTCATTTACTTCATCTATAATGCAATCAAACAAAATAAAATAGGTCCGAATTTACACTCAAGTCATTTGCACTGCCACAATGGTGGATCCTGATCCTCTGACAGTGTGAATCGGTTGTTGAGGGGCCGACCTAAAGTTCATTTTAGCTCGACCGAGCTTCTTGCAACCTTAGTACGTATTTAGTGATGTCGTTCATCTGTGTAGAACATCGGCAAAAACTTTGATTGCACTAATATTATATATTAAGACTCAGTTTGGAAAGAGTACAAGAGTAACTAAGTTGAAGATCAAGAACAGTTGTATGCTTAATTGTCGTGAATATAAGAATAATTAAGGATGGCATCTGCATGCCAGTTAGAGACGACTGCAGCAAATTAAAGAGTGATACTGGTCTTCTGACCTGCTTGGACACCTCCGGTTTATTGGCCTATTACTTCTGTATATAAGCATGCATCAAGAGTACTCAAACACTAGTACCGACAGACCACCGACAATCAGGTAATTACCGGACCTCCATTAATGAAGGTGACAATAGAACTGATGTTCTTACATTACGAGAAATATTAGAGAATTGTGAGCACTCCCCTAGCAGTTTTCCTGATTTTCATTTATTGTAATTAAGTGATTACAAATCTGAGATAGAGAGAACACAAATTAATTAAGAAATTAAAGATACTTCAATCAAATACAAGAAAAGAATCATACAAGGCAAGAGGTTAAATTTTTTTTTTTTTCAAGTTAAAAACTTAACGCCCGCAAATTCTAGTTTTCATTATTACAAGAAAGGGCGCAACAAAGATCAAGTGAATCGATTTTGGTTAGGGAAATCAATTAAAAAGAAAAAATAAAAAAGAGAAAGATTTGAACAACTCAAGAATAGTACATTTCTTTTTGGATTTATGCAAATGCCGCCAAACCCACGACCAAAATTAGAAGCAATCCATCAGAGCAGTTATCTCATTCTCTTCATTAATCACAAAGAAGAGTCAGTAAGTTATTGGGCCATAATACCCCTGGTCCTCCCCTTCTCCCTCTAACTCAATCAAACTGTTCACCACAATTTCTGATGCGCTTGTAACGAGCTTCGACCAGTTCCTTTAAAAATACAAGTAACAGAAACAGCCCAATGTCAGAAACAATTAAATCAATAAAGAAAAGAAAAAAGAAGGTTCAGATGAAAATGATGAAATTGTTCTTCATCCTTGTGATTATATATTTGCTTCTCATCACCTACGTACATTGTGGTGGTGCAATTTTGTGTAGTTTTAATTTGTTCACCAACCACTAGAGAAGAAGAAGAAGAAGAAGAAGAGATTAGAGAAGGATGTGAATACATCCTTAATTACCCGTTATTGGAACTGAAGGTAAGTCCAACCGTGTACTTGGCCTCCTGAAGAGCCCACCTAAACCTCTGGAGCTCATCGGAAGGACAAGTTCCATCATCTAAAGCCTGAAGCTCTGAGGGCTTGATGTCACAGAAGATGGGGATAACCTTCTTCCTGGACTCCATCATCAACGCCAGTTCATGAAGGCAGAAGTAAGATTTGCAGTAATTGGGAGAAAACACAGCAACCCCAACCTTACAGTTCCGTATGGCGGAATCAATGTTCTCAAACAACTTATCACCAGGTTTTAGGTTCTTGTTGTCTAAAAAAGGATTGAACTTGAGCAATCTGAGGTGATGGTAGAGCAACCCAGCTACGGTTCGCTTCGTGTCGATCCCTCTATGGTTAATGAAGACGTCGCAGGGCTGATCAGTAACCATCTGGGCTTGCCTCCGGTAGCGAACAATCTGATGATGGAGGTTCTTAGCTAATGAACGCTGCATGGTTTCTTAGTTGATGGTGAAACGTCGTCGTACGTTCTCTGCTAATGTGGTGAATACTGCGCTTTCGGTCGGTTATGGGGTTCTTATAGCATTTCAGACGCTTAAGACCACTAAAGTTTGATTTTCAAGATTGGACCCTTGAAACGTCGCGTGGATTTGATTTGCCTAAGAGATAACCAGGAAGAAATTTACTTGAATTTCTTGACCATGTCGGTCCGTTTATTAGAACTGTTTAATCCTTCAAACACGCTCAGTTCGATCATAATTAAATATATAAATTCACAGGAGGAGATATATATATAAAACCCAATAAGGAGAGAGGAAATGAAATTAAATTTCTCATACGTTGGATTGGAATTTACTCAATGCCTATACCCCACATATCTCCCATCAGATACCAATCCAATGATCAAAAGTTACTCTTAATTTCTGTGAAGGAAGATATGTACCTATTAAATTCATATAAATTGCGACCCCTTTAAGTCGTAGCTGCATCATGTATTCACCCTTCAAATGGGTAAGTTCTAGTAGGGAGCTTTCTAAGGTTACGTATACACCGTTCAAATGAACTACTGCTGCTTGACCTTTTCAATGCCGCACCGTACGATCCAGGAAATTGCTGCTTGGGTGTTTGACTACCGTTTGTACCGCAAGCTCCGTGCAATTGTCAGTTTGTTCCTACTCCTCAGGTGGTCAGTTGGCAATTGCTCTGTCCACCTCATTCCCTCCATCGTCTTCATGGCTCAAGACAAAGGAAAGGAAAGGATATCAATATATTATTATCGTCATCGATGATCAATATGCATGCATGCACGAGAATTGAGATGATGATCAAATTAAATTCCTCTAAAATTCTCCGCTCGTAGTAATAATGGGCTAATCAAGTCATATCAAGTCATCAGTTTCTGTACTACGCCTAGGTCTTTTGTACTTTAGGATGACGTGGCATATCGTGATTGGCCCAGTATCATGTAAAGAATTGGGCAGCCAATTGGGAGTGACAGATCATGATACTGGTACGTACGTACTCAATCCATACATATATGTTAATTAAATATATGATGAATATTGATTTTGGTATACATCCCAATTTTGATTACTGACCATATAATATGTTGAAGAGACAAAGATTTTCTCATTACAGTGATAAAAAAAAAGTTAATAATACATAAATCAAGTAGTGTAAACTATTAATTACGTGTATGACTAATTATGACTTCCCACCAAACCATTCTTAATTATTACAAGTCCAACGATTTGTCTCAGTCACCCTTTCCAAATTAAAAATTACACCTCTAGTATAATGCTTGCTACAAGTTAATCGTGAACACCAAAGCCAATTAAAAGGATCTTTGATGGAACAATACTTTTCATCAAGATAGGAGACCCACTGAATTGGTTACACGATCAATCCCACAGTTGATATATAACAAAACTTGTATTACCGTTATGCTCAAACTCAAACAACTATCCACGCTTTTCCTTCCTTCTTTGTTAACTAGTTAATGTGCGCACTAGCTAATACTTCCCTCTTCCTTTTGAGCATGTCACTGTATTAAGGCCATGTTTGAGAGTGTTTATTTTAAAAATAAGTGCCTATTGAATAAGTGCAAATAAGTACTTATTTGCATTTGGCATCCACTTTTTCAAGTACTTATTAAAAAATAAACACTTATTTCATATGGGGCATTTGGTGATCTTTTTCTCTAAGAAACACTTAAATAAGTAATTGTGACTCTTTTGTCCCTCATTTTCTTTCAAATTTTTAAAATACCCAATTCAAAGTGAATGAATAAAAAGTGCTTTGATAGAAGTACTTTTATAAAAATACTTTCATAAAAGTACTTCTGTAAAAATACTTTTATAAAAGTGATTTTTTAAAAGCGTTTTTATAAAAAGTTAAAAACACTTTTGTAAAAGCACTTTTATAAAAAAAAGTTAAAAACACTTTTGTAAAAGTACTTTGTAAAAGTACTTTCATAAATAGTGCTTGTGTAAAAGTGCTTTCATATAAAAGTGTTTTCGTAAAAATACTTCCTCAAAGTGTTTTCATAAAAGTATTTTCCTAAAAGTGTTTTTTTTAAATACTTGACTTTTTATAAATTCTAAAAATTTACCGGGGACAATTATGGGTGAAAAATTTTGAATAAATGCTTATTGTATAAGCACTTAGAAAAAAAAACTGGAAATTTGGACTTAAAAAATAAGCCCTTATTTTTAAAATGAGAACTTATTTCAGGCTTATTTTCCAAATACCAATAAGTGCTTAATGACCTAAATAAATACTTAGCTATTTGGAGTAGACCTCCAGTACACTTAGAATTGATACCCAATTGTACAGTGCACGACCATCCCTCCCAATTAGCTATTTGGAGTAGACCTCCAGTACACCACATCAAAATCAACTTTGATGGAGCTCTTTCCTCCACTAGATGTGGACTTGGTATAGAATAGCGCGGGTGACGGGACCACAATGGAGCCTTCATCGTTGCACGGTCATTGGGATTTAACATTTGCTCTCCGTCAGAAATCGAGGCCTTAGCATTATGTGTGGAGCCATGAACTTAGCTTTAGAGTACTCAAGTTTCATGTCATTTTCGAGGGTGGGTTAGTACTTAGTAGTAGTAAACTCCCTGGTGGAGACATCTACAGGTACTCCTTGGCGGATTCTTAACCTCATTTCCAGATGCAGGGAACTTAAAAGGATCAAATCCCTCACTGCTCAGTACAATATTTATCAAGTGGCTCACCAGTTGGCACGGCCAGCACTTCAAATCTCTTCTGAAACCTTCTATTGAGAAGGATTGTAATCTGAGCAACTAATTGGAATGCACTGCCTTTTCTTGGAAGTCAAAAAAAAATGTTACATATAACATTTATAACTTATAATATCTAATCCATAAGATAGATTAACTACATATTTCACAATGGGTAAATTATAANCCCCCCCCGATACTCCCTTTCATTAGATTCCCATTAGTGGAAACCTTTTTTCCTTTTAATGGAAAAGGAAACCTTTTTTCCTTTTTGTGGAAAAGATAGATTAACCTTTTTTCCTTTTTCCCTTTAAAAATGGTCTTTTCCAAATCAAATAAATTGAAAGGAAGGATTTCGTGGGTTTCCTATTATTATTTACCTATGACATCAAAGGTTGGCACATTTTGACATAAAAAGTTGAATTGTTGACTCTCCACCATACAAGAAAACAACTTTATTTTTGGATTAGTTTTAAATTTGTATTTTATTTCTATCACCAATAAAACAATTATTCTTTATCATGCTTACTTTTATTTAATATGGTTAATTAATATAAAATCCAATGAAATAATGAGAGTTAATACCCTAAATATAAGACTTAATGAAATTGTAGTTTAAATTACATTTTGTGCCCAAAGAGAATCAAAATTCAAAAATAGGGGTGTTCTAATCAAAAATAAGATTAATGAAGTTAATAAGAGTTAATACCTTAAATATAAGGTATTATAAATTGCAAGCAGTCTCTCTGTATGTGCATACATCTATCCCTCCCCAGACCCTGCTGTTGATATGTAAATTTTGGGCCCAATAACTGAAACAAATAGGGCCTAATACGAGATTGAATAAAAAGGAGCTATTGGGTCCACTAAGAAAAAAAAATAAAAATAAAATAAAATAAAATTGGGCCCAATGAAGATGTTGGATGGGACCCAATGTATTGGCCTATTAGCCCAAGGAAACAATTACTTCTCTAATGGGTCTTGAGCTTAAGCTTCAAGTGTTTGGTACAATGGTCTCATAAGAAAAAAAAAAGATAAAATCCTTAATTCAAATTCGGTGGATAGATTAGCTAAATCTTGATTTGGGATTTAGTCAATCCCATTTAAAAGGCAACTAGCAGCTTTCAAGGCTTAATTGATCCACCAAAAAAAGGAAAATGATGATTGATCAATAAGCTAAAAGATGCATGGGCCCAGCCCCTTTGCCAAGTGGCATGTAGAGAGACATTCTATGCATTCAATTACATTTAAATAGGAATCAAAGATTGATCACCGATCTGTTAATTGGGGATCTCAAACCTACTAACTTTCCAAAATAATACAAATTATAATTAAGAGAATTTCATTTAAAAGGAAATCAACACACAAGGGGGGTTGATTGATCAACCAAGTCTGGAAATCATGGTCGATCAAATAAGTTAAGTGCTGTATGGGCCCAACCCCTTTTGCCAAGTGGCACTTGGCTTTAAATAAGTGGGAGACAAATCCAACCCATTTTCCTAGTTTGCTTTTAATTGATCACCAAACCATCAACCTAGTGGGCCCCCATATTAATTACACGAGATGGCTGGATTCAAATTTGAATTCAAGTTTTTGGTCGAACTTGTCTAAAAGAAGACATTATAAATAGATGGAGGAAGGAGAGTAAGGGATTCTCCGTTTCTTTTAATAAGAAAAAGGAAGGGACGACTACATCTAGATCAAGGAAGGAATATCCAAATTTTCATCTCTTCAACTATTAAAGATTCAAAGCTACTACAAGTTTGTGCTACATCGATTAGGGGATTTCAATCTTCAATTTACTGCAATCAAAAATCTCTATAAAATTATTAGAATCAAAAAGTTTTCAACAAATCCTTTCAACCAAGAAAGCCTCCATTAATTTATTACAACCAAGGGACCTCTTACAACTAAATGTTAGCATTACGGTTTATGTTCAAATCAACAATTGATCGCAAACAAAAACTTTATTCACATACAATTGGTCACTGCAAGTTTCTTCTACAACTACAAGTCACTAAGCTTTTCCGATCATGTTTGTAACAAACTACAAATACAAGTTCGGATTGTGTTCATAACAAGAGAATCAGAGGATTTTCTTTGCAAAAAAAAAAAAAAAAGAATTTGTATCCCACTTACATTTCTATAAAAAAAAAGTTAATTAAATTTCTTTGAATGTATCCGCATTTTTTTTGTGCTCTTTGTGTCAACACCCGCAATGGTGGGACTCAACATAGATGGCCAATAAGTGATATTTGTGTGGTATAGAAAACAATGACCAACCATGACTTTTATACTATTAGCCCATTTCTTGTATACACAATATTGAGTTTAGTAAATTATTCCTTTTAAATAGCTCCTTTTTGTCTCAAATAACACCTATCATACCTTAACTCATGGCTCCCCTACCAATTTGGCATGACTCTATCAAGAGAAGAATTGAGCTAGTGGGAAATGACTATTGTTGTTCTACAAGAGAACTGAGCTACTAGGAAATGAGATCTATTGTTCTACAAAAATTCATGCCCCCTTGCCAGTAGTTGAAGCTACTGGTAAAACACAGGTTATTGCGGAACAAAAAGCCTTCATAAGAAAAATTGAAGTTACTGGTACAACAGGTTGTAAGCCGGTAAATCTCGAATACGACGAACATCCTCCAAAGCAAGTTCTCTCTCCAGTTGGGTCCGTGTTGTTTGTAAGACCTCCTGATTGAAAGGGACCGTGAAACATTAAAACAATGGCATACGCTGCATGCACATGTAAGAGAGAGAGAGAGAGAGATAGTACATTAAATTCCATGTAAGAAGCATGCATGGCAAGCCACTGGGCATCCATCATTTCAAATGCCATACAATACAATACATCAAAAGCTTCTTCATCTTCTGCAATTAATTAGTATGCTCTTAAAATGTATATCAAGATGGGCATAAAAATGCTAAACGACCTCTGAATTTGTTGTGTAATGAGCACCATAATAGTACCTGATAAGAGGTTTATGAAGTTTAATCCTGGGAGACATTTTGGTTTTGCTGCAAATGAATGGAGAAAAGAAAGATAATGAATGTATAAAATCCTAAATAAAACTTCAATCATATTTGGGAGAGGGCACATAACATGAAAAGTGAAAACATAGTTTAACAGCTGGCAGTACAGTGACCATATTAGAGTCTCACAGTTTCACAGCTTCAACCAGGCTTTTCTTTTTGTGCTTTTTGGCCTGTTTGTACATAAATTCTCTCCTTTTCAAATAAAACTTCAATCAGAAATAGAAAACTATATCCAAAATCCATAAGAATCATTAAAACATTTACATCCCCAACATTGAGGATATTGAGTGCCTTGTTCTTGAATTCTTTGAGTACAGTTCTGGAAAAAAAAATCATGGAGCCATTTTCTGTGGGATTTAAATCCAAAAAACAATAGGAATGTTAAGTCTTGTCAATTACTTCATGCTAAAGTGCTGGAAGTTTGGTCCATATCCAGTCCACCCCTTCCAAGATCCAAGATAGGACCTACATTGCATAGTGGCCTTTTTACAACTAAAGAAAAAAGGCAACATTGTCAATTAAAAGTGATTGCTTTTTTATCAGTTATCAATCATGGAACCAGCCATTTCAGTGGCAACCCAGCCCCAGTCAAGCTTGTAGTCGTAGATCTAGCCATTCAAAGTTTCACACCAGTGCCATCATTGATCACACTTTAGTGCTACAGGTCTATATATATTGCAAGTGTACACATATCAAATTACTTGGTTTTGTCTACTCATACTGCCAACCACATATGCAATATAAATAGCTTTTCAGAATCAGTTAATATAAAACAAAGCTTTCTAAAACGCATAATAATTAGAATGAAGCATTAGTGAGAAACTTAAGGTTTATTTTCTTTTCACACATCTTGTGTCCTCTACAATCTGCATACTTCCCCTTCCTCACTCCACAAAAAAACGCAGGGTCTCTCTCAGTACGGGCATCATGATATCCCCATTCTAAAATCTTCCCCTCTTCCCATAATATCAGGGGTGCAAGTTGGGTACTTAACCTTAGACTGCATGAGGCCTAGGCCCTCAGATGGACCCATTCAAATTTTAACAAATGTTCAACCCAAGCCTGCCCAAGTTGCAGCCTAGATAATATTTTGATATAACAATAAACGATTAAGAAATTGACTGCAAAGGCAGGGCCCTCTAGCTACCACTGGTTGTGACTGTTGGGCCCATTTAATTTTGTCTACGTCATTAACACCATCTGCTCAACAAATGTTTTGCCTTATTTTCCTCAACTTATGACTACTTTTTACTCTTGAGAATGAACCATACATGAACATTTTGCTGTAATATATTATTGACACATGCCTAGTAGCTATGATGCAGGACATAACCTTGTGTCAAGTAACCTGGGATTTCCAAGCTGCTCAAGTCATTGTGCTACTGCCTATGCAAGTAGCCAGGAATATCACCAAATCATTTTGAAAAACACCACATGTCAGTTACAAAGCATATTACCATTTATGGAGGTAATAAGTTTCTTATAGTAGGATTCTTCTTCCAAATGTATAGAACCTAACACAAAACCCTTATAGCAGTGGAAGCTGTATCTTGGAACTACTACTCTCTTCATGACTCTTAAGGATTTTAAGGATTAATTGAACTTGAGAGCTAAAATAATGTTGCACATTAATGATGACATAAACATGCAGAATAAGTGTCAGAAAGAATTCAATGCCTTCTATCTCACTGACCTGAATATAGATCCAACATCTGAATCAACATAAATGATACATTAATTCCTGCAACAGCAAATGGATATTCCCAAGTGGCTCTCTCACCTTCTTGTTTGAACAACAACCTATGAAAAGAAGACTTCATTTTGATTTTGAATACAATTAGTATGAATTTATGAACAAAATTTTACAACAGAATAATAAAGAAAAAATGAAAAAAAAACAAAAGATAAGATAAAATATTTAAATATCCTAGTTAGCAGTATAGCTAAATCATCACCTTAGTAAGGTATAAGCAATTGACTCACTAATGGGATCCAAAAATATTCTAGTTGACAAGCTATTGGTTTATTAGAGTTGTTAGAATCTCCTTTTACTTTTCCATCCAGGGGTGGAGTTGCAGTTTTGCTCATTAAGGAACCACAAACAATTCCATTTGCATTTTCATCATTAAATGATGATTGATTACTTTGGCTAGAGATACAATTTGTTTGAGTGATTCCTCAGAACCATAGAATGCTTTTAGGGCTTCTTGTCTTCTTTCTCTTCTCTTCAGGTTTCATCTTGCTACTTTATTGGATCAATTATGTGGCACTTTCTGTTGGTGCATCACAAGCGATAAAAGAAAATTAATTTGGACCATTAACTTGCAGTAGATAGGAATTGTTAATTATTTCAACTTCCTGAATCTAATTTGCTGTCCTTCCAATATGGGACATCATAGAAGAAATTATTCCTTCTAGTTAACCCCCAAAACCCTTAGAAAAATTCATTCTACTCTAGCTACCCCCTCATATACATCCTAACCCAAATTCCTTTTGTACCACTTTATCAGACTACCCTTATTTTATTGGTCTTTTCATACTTTAGAGACACTGCTCAGTCACTAAACCAGCACAATTAATACATAACTAGTTAATAGATCTACAGGGAGGACACCTTTCAAGTTGGAAACAAGGCTGCAGCTAGAGGTGTCAATTGGACAGATTTGGTCCAACCCGATCCAGTCCAATGTGAGTCCAATTATAAATGGACTGGACCCAATCCAGTCCAAATCCAATCCAATCCATTAAAATGTAAATGGATTGGATTGGATCCAATCCAAACCGAATGAAATATCAAAAATTATATAAAAGCACTTTTAGCATTCAAAAAGAACTTTTGTAAAAGTACTTTGATAAAAATATTTTCATAAAAGTGCTTTTACAAAAGCACTTTATTGAAAGTACTTCGAAAAAGTGCTTTTGTAAAAGTACTTCCATAAAAGTACTTTTGTAGAAGTGCTTTTGTAAAAGTACTTTTATAAAAGTACTTTCGTATAAGTGCTTCCAAAAAAGTACTTTTATAAAAGTACTTTCGTAGAAGTGTTTTTATAAAAGCACTTCCGAAAGGTACTTCGGAAAAGTGCTTTTGTAAATTTTATAATTTTGTAGAAGTGCTTTTGTAAAAGTACTTTTAAAAGTGCTTTCGTAAAAGTACTTTCATAAAAATATTTTATAAAAGTACTTCCGTAAAAGTGCTTTTGTAAAAGTACTTTTATGAATGTACTTTTGTAGAAGTGTTTTTATAAAAGTACTTTCGAAAAGTACTTCAAAAAAGTGCTTTTGTAATAAAATTTGTAAAAGCACTTTTCGAAAAGTACTTCCATAGACTTTTATAAAAGTACTTTTGTAGAAGTGCTTTTGTAAAAGTACTTTCATAAAAGTACTTTCGGTAAAGTACTTTTATATTTTGTAGGTGTTTTTATAAAAGTACTTTCATAAAAGTGATTTTCTAAAAGTGCTTCCATAAAAGTGCTTTCATAAAAGTGTTTTCATAAAAGTGCTTTCATAAAAGTACTTCCGTAAGTTTTTTTGTAAAAGTGATTTCATAAAAGTGCTTTCATGTAAAAGTACTTTTGTAAAAGTTCTTTCGTAAAAGTACTTTTGTAAAAGTGCTTTTATTAAAGTGATTTTGTAAAAGTGCTTTTATAAAACTACTTTTGTAAAAGTGCTTTCATAAAAGTACTTTTGTAAAAATGCTTTTGTAAAAATACTTTTCATAAAAGCACTTTTATTTATAAAAATATTTTCGTAAAAGTGCTTTCGTAAAAGTACTTTCATAAAAGTAATTTTATGTTGTTTTCAGTTTTGATTGATTTCAAATTGGACAAGGGTTTGGCCTCATGATCGGATTATTGGAAATTTGGTTTAGGTCTAATTCAAACCAATAAGAATATGGACCAATTTATTTTGGATTGGCCCAATCATAATTATAATGGACCGTCCAAATCCAATTTGATATGGTTTGGATTGGATTGGATTGGATTGGATCCAAACCAAAACTGGTTGATTGACACCCCTAGCTGCAGCCTATGAGACTCGTAGATCACTAATCCCAAATACAAAAAGCTAGCATTCAATGATGTGTATAAATGTAATGCCAATTTGCATTAACTTCTAATTAATCTGGTGACATGATTACAGTGTGAAACAAGTTGAAGTGTTTTTTTCAAGACACTTAGCAAAGTACAGTTCTTTTCAAGACTATTAGGAATATTAGTCATAATCCTTGTATCCTGGAACTTCCAGATGACATAGGCATCTATCCTATCTTTAATGCAAAGGATCTCAGTCTTATCCTCGCACAAGACGGGTTTTCACTCTTTCACTCCTACCCCAGCCCCTTGATTACCTCTTATGGTTACAACTACAACTTTCATTCAAGATAAAAGGCTGATTTCTACTGCTAATTGTGGTTATTTAAATTCCTTGAGCAATGAAAGACCAACCATTATCAGAGTACTGGAGTTGCTAAGACCTACCCCAGGAGCACCACTTAAAAAAGCTGCACACTTGGTGCGCCTAGGTGTGCACCTGGTGCTCCTTGTGCCTCAACCCAGGCGTGTGCTTTTTATATTTTTTGCGTTTTTTGTTGGTTTTTGAGCATGGTGGCTGGTACAAAGGTGGCTTGTTTTCTTCTTTTGTTTTTTGGTGTTTTTGAGAATGCCTCAGCCCAGGCATGCTTTTCAGTATTTTTTGAGCTTTTTGCCTCAAGGCACTTGGTACAAAGATGGCTTGTAGAATTAGGAATGAAAAATGTAACATCACATTAACTAATTGAAATAATGCAATTGAGAAATAAATAAAGAAGTTAAAAGGTTTGACATGCTTGAATATGTTTTGTATGCTATTTTTTATTTTATTTTTGCATTTTTCACTTTGAGCATGCTTCAGCGAGGCATGCTTTTTGGTGTTTTTTGAGCTTTTTGCCTCAAGGCACTTGGTACAAAGGTGGCTTGTAGAATTAGGAATGAAAGATGTAACATCACATTAACTAATTGAAATAATGCAATTGAGAAAGAAATAAAGAAGTTGAAGGTTTGACATGCTTGAATATGTTTTATATGCTATTTTTTATTTTATTTTTGCATTTTTCACTTTGAATATGTTTTATATGTTATGTTCATGTATTTAAACTTGAGCTAATAAGCGTTCTTGGAATAGTTAGTTTAAAATTAAAAGTTTTAATTTTTTAAATATTTTCTTAATTTATTTTGCTTTTTTATTTTTTTTAAATTTTGCACCTTTTTTTGAGAAAACTTTGCACCTTGCTTCAAAAAGGCACACACCTTGCCTTGTGTCTCAGGCGCAAAATGGCCTTTGCACTTTTTTGCGCATTGCACTTTTAAAACAGAGTAAAACATCTAACTTCTCTAATCTGACAGATTAACCTCCAAGGACTATTAGGTCTGTCTCTCAACCATCATGTTATCATATGAATCTTCCTCAGATAATAACCTCTCAGTCCCATGAAGAATGACAGTTTAAGCCCTTTCACAAGAGAAAGTAGTTCAGCTCTCACCAAATCTATGTCACTAACTGATGCTCTTATTGATAATCAATTTGGTTACCTTCTACCACACCTTTACAATCTGAATCTGGCAAGCATTAGAATGCAGGTTGACTCTGAATTCTACCACTTTCCACAAAAGATGCCAAAGGTTGGGATCGTATCCAGTGTACTCCTCCCAAGACCAGTAATTTACTTTAACAATTTACTATCACAAGAAAAAGTCTTCAGTTATTCAAGTGTTGACTCATATTATTTTATTTTACTTATTCAGTTTTTGGGTGGGGAGCAGAGAGGAGGGGGGTCCAGGGGAGGTAAGAGAAATAAACGAAACCTAGTATAGCAATATAACAAAATAATGTTGGATCCATAAAAATACATGCTGAAAAAAAAAATATTGGTCCCAGCATGTCTTTTACATGGCATATGTATAAAGCACAATTTCCCAACACCACATATACTTCAAATCTGTTCAACATAACGAGTGCCTTAATATCTTTATTTCTTGGAAATTTAATAAATACTACAATTCAGGAAGCAAGGGGCCATTGCTTAGTGCAATGGTAAAATCTCAGGATGAAGTGTGAGAACATGGGTTGAAGTCTGAGAGCCAACAGCAGTCACTTTGGACCAAAAATGTTAAAGGTTAGGTCCATAGCTGGTAACATTGGGTAGTGTCCCTTTTGTTATTGTTCAGATAACTTAGGTGAAAACTTCTTGTTGCCTCAACTACAGTGCCATTAAGTTCTAGGAAAGTTAATGACAGAACAGACAGCATACCGGATATGTCCTGGCAAAGAACAACAAATTCTGAAGTGAAATAAATCCACAACCCCTACAAGAAAGAAAGATAACTAAACAATGTCATGTAAGAGAATTTGAACAGTCAAACCATTACCAGACCTAATGAAAAAATCAAACTGAGATGATAATCTAAACTAACACAACTGATAAAAACATGGCAGTCCTAACACAAACTTTATATGAATTACTAATCAAATCCAGGTCAAAATCAGTCAAACAGGTCAGGTTAGCTTAGCTAATAGCAAAACCAAGATCAGGAAACAAGAGGCTATGCCATTTATACTTTTCATACCAAATGTGACATTAGCCACACTACTAACTAAATGATATTGTAATCCAATATAAATTCATGGATTTGATATAGGTAGAGAAGTATTTTTCAGAATTTCCTTCTCCCATTTTCCTCATAGACTTGAGAAAAATATAGATGTAAGGTGTTAGAAGTAATTTATTACAGAAATCACAAAAGTGGTTTAAATTGAATAATGACAATCCACTGCTAAGAAACTTTGACAATTGGATCCATCAAATTGGATCTATAGCTTTTATTTATATTTTGTTTCATTCATTAGTAGGTTCTTTTTCTGCCAAGACCTTTTGGCTTGGATGAGTCTGGGAAATCAAAAATAAAAAATAATAAAAAAAACGGTAGACAAGATTTAACTTTTTAAATATGAGTAAAACTGATGTACGACCAGCTCAATTCTAGTCCTTAGAGAATGTTGAATGGTCTTCTTTGATCAGAAATTTATGACCATTGATGGCTGTAATAATGACTTCTTGAAGGAACAAGAAAAAAAAATAGGAATAGAAAGAAGAGAGAAAATACCTGGAATCACTCACGGGGTGCCTAGAATCACTCTAGGGTATGGGAATCACTCACCATAATTAGCATAAGCTGAAGAAAACTCAATACACTTCATTGCTCTTCGTGTAAAACGTCCATACATATTTATAGACTAAATTCATAATAATCCTAGGAGCCAAACTGTTTGACTCATAATAGTCCTAGGAATTAAACTGTTAGACTCAATAATCCTAATAGGACTCAAACCAAATTATCATTATCTTATTTCAATTCAAACAAGACTCAATAACTATAATCCTACTTATGCAAAGACTGAAATTTTAAACATAAACAAACTATAAATCAAAGTTTAGAGAATTGGACTGGGCATAGAACCAGAGAAGGGAGAGATTCACGGGTCAAAGGTTCAATCAGGGTCAAACCGGTGGTCGAACCGTGATGACATGGCATATACATATATATACTACGGGTCATATAAATACCATATATAATATATTTTACAACTTTTAGTATACTTAAACATGATGGATGGAGGGCAAGTTCCTTAATTTTTAAAGCAAATGACTACGGTTCAAGTCTCTTAATTTACATTTTCTTTAAAATACATGCATTATAAAGTAATATGTACAATAAAAAGTCATTAATTAACAGAAGTAAAGAAGTGGACTAGCAGTAATTGAGCATTAAGCAATATATAAAAATAAGAGATCATGGGTTCAAGACTTGTTAAACACATTTTAAAATTTCAATTATTTAAGGACCCAGGCGGTTTAATGAAACCAGGACTGGTTCACCATTTTTCATCGGCTTTTTAGAAAATACGGTTATTGGGGTGTGACCAAACCAGATAGGGTCCCGGTCACAGTTTGACCGCCTGGTCCGGTCCAGTTTCCTAAACACTGCTATAAATAGACAAGTTAGACCCTGTCATTGGACCCCACAGAAAATTTGTAAAATGGAAAAAATATCTCCTGTGTCCAAAAATACAGAAATACATAAAATTTCACAAATTTCCAATTTTCACCCTTCAACTCCTGCATCAAACCATGGTCCAGTTCTAACATACTGATGTGTTTCATTTGAGCATTTCATAAACAGGTTTAGACCTTTCTCACAAATAACCAGTCAATTCTTACCATTTTGGGCTAACCACTAAAGCACTATTTGATACCAAAAAAAAAACAACAATGATTTTTTAAAACTGTTTTAACTGTCCAGCCTAACCATTCAATCATTTGGGCCATTCAGTGATTGGACAAAGTAGGTAATTCTACATTGAGATAGAGAGAGAGAGAGAGAGAGTTCTTTCAATTCAACCAGTGCTTCAGGAGAAAAAAGTATTTCTGAAACTGGTTTGAGATATTCTGGTTTGGCCAATTTAGCTAGTGTTATGAACTGGGTAAACCTCTACTATTTTTTATTTTGGATATTAACAAACTTTATTGATTTAGAAGAAGAATGGATTATGTACATATGTCAAATATCCCTTAGTTGAGATGGTATAGGGGTTCTACCATTATTTGATCAAAACCAATGATTTAGATGCCAACTATTATTGTTGTCTGGCTGAATGGTTTTAACTGTTTGGAGCATTCCACAGCTGGACAGATTAGAAAGATCCTATATGTCTTTTTACGCTTTTTTCTTTTTTTCTTCTTTTCTTCTTTTTTGGTAAACCAGAAACCCCACCCTCTCTCCTTCCTTTGTTTTTGATAAGTAACACCCTCTCTCCTTCCTTCCCTCCTTCATACTTCCCCTTCACTCGACCATATCATCTAACTAAAAGTGCTTGCCTCAAAATGTTGCATAAATAATATCCCTTTGAACTGCATGGTTGAACAATTCAACAATTGGACCATTCAATGGTTGGATAAGTTAGATAATTACATGCTTCCCAATTTCATCTCTTCTCACAATTTCATCTCACTGCAGTTGGTTCCTAAAATTGTCGCCATATATAATATGATTATGACCATCATTGTAGTTTCAAACATTATAAAATTAGCATCTGCAAGAGTCACTCTTGTTTCCATATTAGCATGGTAAATTATGAAAATTACCTAAAATCAGTTGATGGATTAGGTCCTTGCCAGCCCATATCTTTCCATTGCTCAGAAATCATGCCTTTAAGATCAACATCTGGAAAAGCAGCACGCCACAATGCTCTAAGAGCTTCCTGCCAGTGAGAAAAAGATATTAACATGGCATCAACAATAAGGAGAACTTACAGAATAAAGCATTATGTAGAACAGTTACAACCATGTAGTTCCATCAGAGAAACCTTATGCCAAAGAAAGAAAATGTATGAAACAATTGGAAGACAAATGTATGAAAACATATGAAACAATTCCATTCATCAATGCATGGCCACAAATCCCATGGGATTGCAGTAAGATGTTTAATAGCAATATCAAACTCTGGATTTGAATGGGACCTTTTCATGTTCAAATTTTAAAACTTGTGATGTTATCATCAACTAGCCCTAAATGAGAAGCAGAAAGGGCTAAAACTAATTTTCTTCATGCATGAGATAATACAATCTTTGGGAAGCCATTATTGATTAAACAGTATATGCGCAATTAGATACAATCTTGTTTGTTCTGTTTGCACATCCTCTCATGTACATCCCCCCCCCCTTTTGCCACTTCTGAATATAACAGTTACCATTTTTGAAAAAAAAATCTGAATAAGAGGCTATGGTATACCATCAACAATAAATGTCAATGAACCTTGTTTGCAAGTTTCTCGTATGTTTACAGCATTCTGGAGTTTTGGTAGGAGGTGGCACAAAAAAATAAGCAGTTTGTTTTTATGACATCCACAGATGTCATGATAAAATAAGAGTATACTCAACTTGTACGTCCTATTTTCATTGTATCATAAAGGAGAACTAATCAAAGTTAGGGTAGGTCTCTTCCTCTATTAGATAAAACAAAAAGAATGAAAATGATGCTAGATGATAGGAAAACCATCAAAGCTTTTTAAAATTAAGTTGAGAGAAATTCAAGGGAAAGAAGTTAATACCTGATGGTCTGGGCGAGTCTCATCAAAAGGTACTTGCACTCTTTCTTGAAGCCTTTTCCATCTTTCTTCCTGCTAAGCAGTAAACCCTATAAGAAATAATCTACAGCAAGAAAACAGAACAACAATTGCAGGATATATACAAAACCAATATTAACTAGTGCATCTATGCAAATTCCAGATGGGTGTACTAAAGAAAGAATCTCAGGGCTTTTTGGTAGATGAAAATTTTTCATATGTTGTCCATAATTATTGTAACTACCACACACTAAAAGCATATGCAATAGATTTCATATTTCACAGAATGAAAGCAGAACAGCATGTTGAATTAAAATTTCAAATCTACCTGAAGTGGGCTCAAAGTATAGTCAAGACATTTGTCAGATCCACGACGTTTATTGCCTAAGCGATTAAAGAGCCCTCCTATCCATGATCGTGGTCCAACCATAGCATTATCTGCAACAATCACATATTTATAAACCATTTAAACATGTGAGGAGAGGCATGTGCACTAAATCATGGTTCACGCAAGTATACACAAACACACAGAAAGAGACTCCTGATATTAAAAACACGTACTATTATAATTTTTTTGCTAAAGTAACTGGTTTAAAAAAAAAAAGAAAAAAGAAAATGATTCTGCATGTTAAGGTAACCAATACCAACACTTTTAAGTTAACCTTTTATCAGTCAGTGTCTCCTTGTTTAACAGATTTTGAGAAAAAATGGGACCAATTCTGGTGCAAACTGAGACTCGAAATCATGCCTCAAATATTAAATATGCCAAAAATCTGAATTACAGAAACATTCTAAAAGTTGAGGCTCTAAAAGAACATGATCACATGATAGTGAAGCTAAAGCCAACTTCCAGGAGAAGCAGAAAATGCCAAGATAATCCACTGGTTTTGCATCCTGCAGTGGCTAGTTGTCTGCAACATGACTGGGCAAGAGAGTAGATTCAGACCATCCATCTGATGAGTAAACCTCTGAATCAGATACATATGTAATGTAATTATCCATTACCATTTTTATGTTCCACCATGTATTACACTCCCTACAAGTAATAGCCCAACAAGGGTTAAAAAAGATCTATCATTTTGTTGCATGGAAGAACTCTATCAGGCTGGAATTTTTCATGTGTAAATCCTGTGACATCAAAACACATCTACTGGTTCTGCCCATGTGTTGTAGAAGAATATCCGAACCTGTTTTCTCTATATGACAAACCCCAACTCTAATCTAAGTTGGAAAAGAAAGAATAAGACAAAAAGAAAATTGAAGAACAAAGGTAGAAATCTAGCAAATGGACTTTTTTTTTTGAAATACAAGGAAAAAATAGGTAAAAAATATGTCAAGAGAAATAATTAAAGAACCATTTAGGTTATCAAACAAAGTATGTTAGGCAACATTTCATATTACCTGTCCTGCAAACAGTAGGACTAAAGTGGATAAATCCAAACAGGGAAAGAAAATAAAAGATAAGAAAATCAAATTAGGTCTTATGAGGAGATGAGAGAAGCAATTTACTCACTAAAACGTTGAGCTGACTGTAATATTAAGTGAGCAAAATTATGAGACCTATGCCCCTGTTCGTGCTTGTTCTTTTGCCTCCAATACTCCTCATCCTCATCGACCTGTATTTAGAAGCACCCACAAGCACACAATAATTAGAAATTATCACCCTGCATCTATAACTCAGCTGACTTGACACAAATTGTTTGTTTTCAGACAATTAACTTGTCTAAACTTTTCTACAAAATCAAATTGCTTGTTTTCAGACAATCTAGTCCCCCCCCCAAAAAAAAAACAAAAAAAAAACCCTGGTGAAGGCATGATTTTATCCCAAGTCTCCACTAACTCCATCCTAAGGCTTTATCAACTGAGCCAGTTGGCACCTTCATAAGAAACCATTGTAAACTACAAGGTTTCTTTCCTTTTCTTTTTTTTGTTCATTATAAGAGGCAAAATGGTTAAATGAGCTCACAAACGTGAAATATACATGAAGACTCAATGCAGAGATTAAATGTAAGTTCTCATGGAATTGTCAGATAAAGCAAACCTTGTATCTACTGCTCTTCTTACAATTTCAATCTTTTTGATCATGTTCAATTTTGACTCTCAAAATCTGCTCACACTGGAGGGGAGTCATTAAAATGCATTCCATGAAAGTGGAGCCAGTTTGTAGGCTATCAGCTATCGTTAGTTTGCAAAACAAAAGTGGAGCCAGTTTGTAGCAGAAGCAGGATGAAGAGAACAAGTGCCAAACTATTAGGACTTCATGGGAGTAACATGGAAATTTGGAGTTTGAACACACCAGAACATGATGCTCTCTTCAAGGCTCAGTTTGGAAAGAGTGCAAATACAAATATATTCAGTGCAAAACTTTTATAAGGTCCATATTTGTACTTCTAAAACCTTGTAATTGCACTGAACAGTGAACACACTCTTCCCAAACTGCCCGGAGGTAATGTATTGGTAAGGTCAGGGCGGTGAGAAAAATATAACCGGAATGAGGGTAAGAGGTTTTTGTCGTTTTGTCTATCCCTCCATTTGTTCTGTTGTATTTTCTTTTATCCTTTGAAGGGCAGAGCAGGAAGAGATGCATTGGCGACGCTTGACTCTCATATCAGGGGATGTCTACAATGGCAATGCGATTCCTTCTTCATTGCAAACAATGAAAGAATAATGGAATAGAGAAGAAAGGGATAAAAGAAAACAAAGAAATGATTGGTAGTGTCTCATGCTCCACCTCAAATTCAAACTCTCATTATTTCAGTTGTCTTCATGCAGCACTAATTACGTATACAGAAAGAGAACAGATAGGGGATTGCATAGAAATAGTTAGATACAAATATTATATGGATATATCTCCAGCACCGAATTCTCCGACAGGAACGAAAAGGAAGAAAACGTGAATCGAAAAGAACCCAAAAGAATAGACATTTAAAAATGAAAAGGCAAAACAGAGAGCGCAATCAAAGCGCCCATCCATGACTTTATTTCTTTTGCGGAGAAAATGTGCGTAGTTTATATATTATTTTTGGAGCGGACACAAAGACAATTGAAGACAAAAAAAAGAACATAAAACAAAGACAGAAAGATAAACAAGGAATTAATTATTGTGCGTTGTAACATAGAACGAGAGAGAGAGAGAGAGAAAGACCTGTGACCAGATTCAAGATGAAAGGTTGCGGTAGGGCCGAAGCTGGAAGATGAGGAGGAAGAGGAGCATCTGGGCTCCACCCACTCTACAATGTCTTGGCTTCTTCTGTCTCTCCCTTCTCTTTTGCCCTTGGTATTTCTACTTGGGAAATGGGAAGTGGGAGACGGCCCAGACGGGGAAGACAACCTACAGAGAAAGGGGAAGGAAGAGAGCATATCTCGCTCTTGAGCGCTAAGACCAGCCATACGCTACGAGGGGCTGTAAAACTCCGCCCGAGTCTTAATAGACGTAGAAGGCGAAGCCTTAATACATTAGTTTCTCCATTCATGGTTCGTTCTCGTTTCAGACTGTCAACGACGATTCCATTGCCGCGTGTTAAAATGTGTTGTCTCGTAATCATCATTTTTAGCCAATCTTTTCTCTTTCTTTTGACACTTGCGGGTTTTTTTACGAATCTTTCAAAAACGGCCAAGCGCTCCAACTGAACTGAAGGGTTGCTCCAATGTTTTAAAAACCGATCCGGGTCGGTATTCGGTTGCGGGTCATCGATTCGATCGACCGGGTCGAACGGTTCAGATCGTTTCACATCAATGCATATATATAGCACATGTGTGTATATATTAACAATAAATAATATATAAATATGTTTAGATATGTTATATGTATTATTTTATATTTAATTTATGTGTTTTAATTCAGTTATTAACTTTTTTATTTATAAAAAATATTAACAATTGCGATTTGAGGCCAAAAAAGAGTTTTTTCGTAAAAATAGCAGGGTAAGGTGCCTATAGCCCTTGAGGCACATAGGTCTCAAAAAATTACCCAATATCAAAAAAAAATCACCCCAAACATCAGAGTGCAAAGTTACGGCCTTCAAAAATCTTGCATACATCGAGTGTGCAACCCACAACCCGATCACTAGGGGATGAGTCAACAATCGAAGCAGACAGGTCAAACACTTCTTGACCAAGTCAACGATTTTTGACAATCTAACAGGTCTTGACCAAACCAGACCCAAAATCATGGTTGGGTGACAGTTCAACGGTTTGACCAACTGGGTTAAAAACATTGGGTTACTCAATTGGAGCCTGAGTCTCCTACCCACAAACCCACAGGACATAGTTGTAGTGTGCATTGGAAACATCTTCCGTGTTTATATAATAGTTTAAAGGAATGTTCCATTAAGTTAAGTGACAAATGCCAACAATGGGACAAAGTGAGGGAATCCACAAGTTTAGCGGGTCTTTGTTGCAAAGTAAAGTTCTAGGAGTAAGTATCCCTACCCACTAAACAAGATGGCTGTCTGTAATTTTTTAAATATTTTGTTTATGATATAGAATGATAAGTTATTTTAGTTCATTTTTATTAATAATATAATATTTTGATCATTTTAGTCTAATTTATTAATGCTATTACACATTCAATTAAATATTTTGTTTATGATATAGAATGATAAGTTATTTTAGTTCATTTTTATTAATAATATAATATTTTGATCATTTTAGTCTAATTTATTAATGCTATTACACATTCAATATCCAGTTGTAATCCAAATTTGATTCACGTTTGATATAAAATCTAATGGATAAGATTCAATTTGAATCCAAATATAAACGAATTAAGTTTGGATTCAGATGTTTAACTACATCTCTGACAAGATTGAGAAAAACCCTTGGGTTGGAAAGGCAAATTGCTTAACCATGTTGGTAAGGAGGTTATGATAAAAGTTGTATTAAATGTCTTCTAACTTACAGCATGTCATGTTTCTTATTGTTAGTGAATAAATGTGAAAGAATTATTAAACTCCAGAAATCTTTTTAGTAGTGTAAGGAAGGAAATAAGAAGGGAATCTCATAGCTGAAGTGGGAATAACTGAGTAAAAGTAAATTAAATTGAGGTCTAGATTTCCATGATCTAGTTGTTTTAATAGGGCTCTCCTAGTGAAATTGGCTTGAATATTAGAAATTGGTGAGGACAGCTTATGGGCAAAAGTAATAAGAACAAATCTTTTCTTAAGGCTGCATTTGGATGCAATGTAAATCAAGAATCGATGTAAATTTTATATCGATTTGGTTTTGTATGCATTTGGAAAGAGGGCGTAATTATTATCGATGTAAAACTACACTCTGGTTCAGTTTTGCGTGCATTTGGATGGAGTGTAGTTTTACATTGATAATTGATGTAAAACATCATCAATTCTAAAATTTTATATTGATAATCGATGTAAAAACTACATCGATTTTATCGATGTAAAACTTGACACTCTTCCACCCATCACTATTTTCAAAAAAGCAACAATCACTTTCTAATTCAATGTAAAACGTCATATTTTTACACTAATTCCAAACACAACTTAAATGACAAATTCACTAATTGTAAGTCTTGGGGTTGGAGGAGCATCCTTAAAGGGAAAAGTTATTCAAAAGATCTATGTTGGGCCATTGGTTTAGGTAAGCCCATCTCAATTTGGAATGATCCATGGATCCCATGATTACTAAGCTGTAAAATAGTGGTCCCTGACGCAGGAATCCTAGGGTGTCAAAGGTCAGTGACTTATTCCAGCTAGATAGGAGAGAGTGGAATGTAAACCTAATCCGGTCCATGTTTTTACCTTCCGTTGCTGAAAAAATCCTAGCCATAACACTCCCTTATTATGAGTGGGATGATAGTTTGGTGTCGTCTATAGATAAAAGGGGCACATTCCTAGTAAGATTAGCCTACTTTGTGGCAAAAAGAAAAATGGAGTGTTCCCATGTATCTGGAACTGATCATGGGACTTATAAAGATTTGTGGTACACTATGGAATTTGAAAATCCCTCCAAAGATTAGGCATTTCCTCTGGAAGGCATGTCTGAATGCTTTAGCAATTAAGAAATCTTCATTTAGAAGAAAGATTTCTATTAGTGTGTAACATCAGTGAGGGATCGGTTTTTCATGCTTTATGCTCCTGTGCTTCAGTTAGGAGGTGTTAGATTGGATCAAGTTTTGTAAATCCTTGAAGGACAAGAAAGGGGATCTTTTATAGTAAATTACCTTGATTCTCTGGAACATTTGGTTTATTAGAAAGGATGTTCTTTTCAATAATTCTAGTTCTAATCTATTATCTGTCATTAACAAGGTTCAGGCTCAATTAAATGAACTTCAAAATCGGGAAGCTTCACCATTACCAACACAGCCCCATTCTAATTTAACTAAGGGCATTTCGTCATTTTGGACCCCTCCACAGGAAAATTGGATTAAAATTAATGTTGATAGAGCTTTCTCCTCTAATGGTTTTGCAACTTTTGGTTTGGTGGCCCGTGATCATCTTGGTTTTTGTCTAACAACAAAGAGTGGCCCTCTCTCAACCTTCTCATTGTCCCAAGCTAAAGTGTTAGCATCTAGAAGGCTTACATCTATCAAAATCTCTTGGTTGGACTAAGGTGGTTGTTGAAAGAGATAATCAATCTTTATTTGGTTCATTGACTAATTTTAAATAGGGTTGTTCTTCAAACCTATCTTTTTTTTTTTCTATTTTGCATTGCTTAAAGTTGGCTAAAGTTTTATCTACCTCCTTTTATTTTGTTAGAAGATATCAGAATGTTCCAGCCCATCAATTAGCTCAAAGGGGTTTGGTGTCTTCAAGCCTGCCGGTTTGTCCTCATTGGCTTTCAGAAATCTTGTGTCTAGATTTTGCTGTAGTTTATGAGCAGTGTAGTTGCTAGTGTTCTGTCTGGTATTTGTTTTTTTTTCTTTCTTTCTAGTCTTTTCATAAAAAAGGGAATTTAGTTAATAAGGGCAACTTTTGGGCCCTAACATCAATAAAAATAATCTTTTTAACATAATTATTAAAATAGATTAACTTTTTTTTAAAAATATCAAATAGGGGCAAAAACAGTGTTCATCTCCTTCCTCCTTCAAACCATCGAACAAATCTCCCCCAAGATTAATAAATTTTGATACAGATCTCTACTATTTTGTTCATCCTTGTAGTTGCTAGCTTGCTTCAAGCAAAAATGGCGAAGCCCACTCATGTGTTTTTGCATTTCGTTATGTATATCTTGCTTCTCTACTTAGCATACTCATAGACCTCTTCCAATCCCAATTTGTAGGCTTTAATGGCGTTCAAAACTGCTTCAGATACCTCTAACAGGCTTAGTAGATGGAACCAAACCATCGATTCATGTACTTGGTACGGTGTTTCATGTGTTCTTTTAAGTGCTTCAGAAGAATAACTCATAGCAGTTCTGCTCTGAATTTGAAACAACTCAAATGCAGAGAAGAAGAAGAAGAAGAAGAAAAAGAAGAAAAAGAGAAAGAGAGAGAGAGAGAGAGATCGGATGTGGGGAGATTTATTTGGTGATCTAGAGGAAAAAGGAGATCAACGGTGTTTCTGCCCCTATTTGATATTTTAAAGAAAAAAGTTAGCCTATTTTAGAAATT